TGGAAAATTATCAAGTATCAAATAATAAAACAACAAGTTTTACAAATAATAAAACAACTAATACTTGTTAATGATAAATATAATTAAGAATAAAATAAAATTTTTCTTTGCATTTAAATAAATATATTAGAAAAATATATCCTGAATATAGAACGAAACAAGTAATCAGTAAAAAAAAAATTGCGAAGAAATAAAGTCAGATTGTTTTTGATTTTATCAAAAACAATTGAACATTTTACTTTACTTAACTAAACGATACCATTAATATAAACAAAATTGGAGACAATTCGATGACTTTTAAATTTCAATATAAAAAATCAATTTTATGGAAAATAAATGAATGCGCACTGTATATCGCAAAAAGAAAAAAAAATGTTAAATATCTCTTAACTCATCGATTATCAAAATGTTTCTGGCTAAAAGATGCAAATCAGTAATATACGTCATTGGCCTTTCATTGTGTCGGCACGTAACAGCCAGTTTCGTTAATTTCAATGAGGGTGACGTAAAAAAAAAAAAAAAAAAAAAAAAAAAAAAAGAAAAGGAAAAACAAAAAAAGGAAGAGCATAAAAAAATAAAAGAATATAAAAAAGAAAAGAGAGAGAGAGAGAGAGAAACAATTGGAGTAATTCTATTCGAGGTCAACAAGGTCCGAATAAATGTAAATGATTGCATGAACGAGTGTTTGAACGACAAGGCCTTTCCGTTCCATGCCTACCTACCGCGGGCAATAATTGAAGCGACACACGGAGTGCAATTAAATTGAAAGTTCCAGGAGGAGGAAGAAAGGAAGGAATGTGAATGACGCCTCACGTCTCTCACTCTCATCGTTTTCCATGGATGCACGTGCACGGTAGATTCAAGTGAGTGCACGTGACACATCGAGACCTTAATAGCGCTGTCTCGAAGGGATTTGTGGTTTGGGAAAAGGTTTTAAGGGTCGTCCTCGAGTGACTCTTAACAGCTGCGCTTTCTGACTCCACATCGTCGATGATGCTACACGGAAACAGAATCACCCGACACGTTCTTCTTTTCTTTTTTTCTTCTTCTTTTTTTTTTCCTTTCTTTCCTTTTTTTCTTTCTTTTCCTTTCTTTTCTCTCTTACTTCCTTGTCTCTTCGATACCAATAACCTAGATTCTTTGTGGATCTATTAAATGAACGATCGATTACTGTCATTTAAAATTATTTTCCTTGTTAATTATTATTGTAAGTATTTACAAAAGTTTCCTCATATAATACAAACATTTAGAAATATTTTCTTATAATATAATATAATGATTAATAAATATATAATATATCTATATGTTGTCGTCTAATTTGAATTACTTTCGAATTTCATTTAACACTGTACAATGTAAACATATAATAAAAATATCATATATATTATTTCGTATTAGGTGAATCAGATAAATCGATCAATTTTATTATTCGTTTAATAACTTTTCATTGAATGATCCATTCGAAAGAATTGTTCTTATTATTCTATTCATTTGTATTATCTTAATCAATCATTTTTAATAATTAAACCAAAATTCTTTTTGATATTTTCATTAATGAATTTTCTTACAAATTCATTCGTTTATAATGAACATTTTTCTCTCTGATAAGATCATCTAAGTTTACGATTACACTGTTATAAAAAAAAGAAAGATTGTTAATAAGTAAAATCGATTTGATAAAATCAGTATAAAAAACAAAAAAAAAAGAGAAAAATAAGAAGCAAGAGAAATATAAAGAAATATATTTGTTGGTTCTTTCGTAGAATTTACGAAGGAATACCTTGGATTCCTTGGAGAATTGAAAATAACTTGATTAGACATTTAAACCAGAATACAATTATATCGTTGTAAAAAGGAAAAAAGAAACAAAACAAAACAAAAGAAAACAAAAATTGTTAATAAGTAATACGATTCGATAAGTCAGTACATAAAAAAATAAAAATCTAAGGGAAATGTATTTGTTGATTCTTTTGTATCATTTACGGAATATCTTGAATTCCTTGGAGAATCGAAAATATCTTGGTTAGATTCTTGGTTGAAAAAGGTATAGGGACCGATGTAATACTTAGGAAAAGGGAAGGAAAAAGGATGGAACGAATGAACGAACGAACGAACGAACGAACGAACGAACGAACGAATGAAAGGCAGCCGCTGCGTGGACATAGTTTTGAATAGAGTGCACTCGACCTTTCCTACTTGGGTTCAACATACTTTCGCCATCTCTAACCTCCGTCTAGAGTACGTCGTGCGCGCGAGCTCTTATTAAACGTGGCGATTTATCGCTAGTAATAACGGTGCGGTCTGCTGGCGTTGCTCGTCGGTGAAGTCCTCTTCTCTCTTCTCGAGAGTGAACGAAGAAGGAAGGAAGGAAGGAAGGAAGGAAGGAAGGAAGGAAGGAAGGAAGGAAGGAAGGAAGGAAGGAAGGATGTAGAAGGAGCTAGAGTAAGGGTTTATTTCTTGGAAAAGCGTACAATGTATAGAACAAATACATGAGCATAGTTAGTCCACACATACTCGTGATCAAGTAGTAAACGTGCTCCTACGATTCCACGTGCGTGAGTCCCGGAGTAGATTAACAATTTCTGACATTTTAGTGCCTCTCTCGGATGCGTTAACGCCACTTCAAGTAGCGAAACGCGGCCCCTCCTGACTGTAACGAGCTCCAGGATTGATTAACCGTCTCGTCTCGTAGCGCGACCCGCACCTCGTCCGTCGTCCACGTGGATTCTAAGCAAACGAGTTGCCCTTTTACCCTACGTCTCCTCCTAACCTTCTCTCTCTCTCTCTCTCTCTCTCTCTCTTTCTCTCTCTTTCTCTGTCTCTACTCTCGAGGATCGTAATTAGCGCGTGATTAATTACTTCACTTTTTTAACGTCTCCCTGAGTCTATGCTTTTTATACTCTTCTTTTTTTTTTTTTTTAACTTTTTTCTCAGGTCAATAATATTTTTCTTATTTTGATTCTACGATACTACTTGTTAAAAGAATTAACGTTGGTTACGTATTAAGTACGTACGATGGAGTTCGTAAGCATGGAATTATAATGGTATAACCGTTGAATATGGTCATTAACGTTCTACACGCTGAGGCAGTCGTAATTAAAATAATTTTCGAGTATACTAGAGAACGTAGGCAGGTGCATTTCCCACGTGTATATCGACGAGCTAAAAGCCTGCAGAACCAGAAAGGGTCACCTGCTATATGATCGGGTTAAGGAGAGTCGAATAAGCATTATTCATACGCTGAGAACATTTATCCTTAAGTTATTCATCTCATGAATTAGTAAACACGATGAAGAAGCCCCTACAGAATTCGTCTATCGCTAGGACCACCTAGTAAAAAGGCCAGTGTCATAATTTTAACTTGTAAAAATTCTCTTCTATGCCTTCCTGTATTTCAAATCGAGTTATTCCCTTTTACATAATTTTTTTTTTTCTTCGTTATGTCATTCTAAAACGTTTCATCGATCGATATTAAATAAAATCGATAAGACGAATGAGTTTCTACGAAAATAATTTCGCTTCGATAATTTACGACGATTATATTTTTCTAATATTTTTTCTAATATTTTTTTTTTTCTACGATGATCTTTTTTACTAATATTTTTTTTTTTTTGATCACGATTAATTCGAAATAATTGAAAAGTGTATACAATTTCCTTAATATCACGTGATATTTATTCTTTCATCAGAGTTATCCTTTTATATTTAAATTGAAATCAATACTCGATCGATAAAATTTGTAACTTTTCTTTTTTTTTTCTTTCTTTTTTTTTTTTTTTTTCTTTCTTTTACATTAGCATGACAGAAGAGCGAGACAACGAATATATCCTTTTCCTTTTCTTTGTTTCTTTTTGTTTTTCTTTTCTAAAAGAGTCCGTGTAATAAAATTGTTAATTTCCAAATTTCCAAAGAAGCTTCGAATATTCGTGACTCGTGACTCGAAGAATAAGAGAGCTAAGTAATATATGTATATATATATATATATATATATATATATATAAAAGAAAGCGGAAATGACTCGACGTTGCCACGTTAGTGTCGACGAGGCCGTCTATATGCTGGAAATAGATTACAAACGTAATATTTTAAGGTCCATAAATATTCGAAACGTCCGTGAGACGTAGTTCTTCTTTCGAGAAAAAGGGCCCACCTTCTCCTTGTCTCCTTTCCACTTTCTACCGACAAGTATTTTCCATGAACACGAGGCGTCACTCAGAGTCGGCTGGGTTATGGCACGATCTAATTGGAATAAAAGAGATTTTTGTAGGTGGTGCAGCCTAATTGCCACCGTCTTTCGTCATTATGGGTGGTCTCTCTGTCTCTCTCTCTTTCTCTCACATACACACACACACACACACACATACACATACTCTTTCTCTCTTTTTCTCTTTTGCTCTCTTTCGAAATACTCGTCGTATCATTCGTTCTCATCTTTCGGTAACACTCCTCGCAGATTTTGGAATGTAGTCCAACTCGTCCTGCACTCGTCGACGCCTAATTTGTCGTATCTATGTCCTTCTATTTATTTTCTTTTTTCTTTCTTTTCTTTTCTTTTTTTTTCTCTCTCTCTTTTTTTTTTCTTTTGCGTAACGAAACAAACACGTTAAAGTCTTTCGCAAACCATTACATATTTACTGAAAATTATTATACCATTATTACGATCGATGTATATATGATATGAAATATTATTTAAAACCATAAATAACGATATTAAACTAATAAAATTGATAACAAAATATGATGTTTTCGGTCGAATATTTTATCCAAAAATATCATTGAAACGTCGATACATTAACAAGTTTTATTAAAAAAAGTTTTATTAAAAAAAAAAAAAAAAAAAAAACAAAATCCATCTATCTAACTCATTATCTATTAAAATCGCAAAATAGCGAAGTTTTTACAATGTTTTTTTTTTTTACATAAAAATTATCGTTTCCTTTGTGTGTAAATAAAAATATTAGAATATATAAACGTATACATTTTAAAATCACCGGCGAATATTTTGTAAATAAATTTCATATTAATGTCCTTTTCTTTTTCAATTAATTTCGTTAATAATCGACTTAGATAAAAGTTCGTTTAAGATCTTGTTTCTTGACGTTGGCCCATCTGTTCCAAATTCGTGTCTCCTAATTGTTCTGGATAATTCCATGGTTGAATTTTTGCGGAACCGAATATGATAAATATTAAGAAGCCAAGAAATTGAGCAATGACAGTTATCCAAAAGACATATTTCCAACGTTCAAATGTGTGCTACATGAAACAAATTTTAGAAGAAATATTAAAAACGAAAAAAAAAATCATATATATATATATATATATATATATTTTATTTTCGCGCGAATATCATTAGAAATTATAATCGAGTATTAGCACTGTAATAAATTTACAATTAAAATTTTCACAAAGATAAATATTTTTCTTTGTGCATAAATAGAAATGAGAATTATTAAAAATCTTTAGATAAATGATATTAATAATTAATAACTACGTTTATAGAATTTCTTAAGTGTCTGGAGAAATATTATGAAAAAGGTTTGAATGAGAAACTGTAAAATTCTAATCTCTCTTTCTTTCTAAGAAAAGATACGATCGAAGAAAAGAAAGATCGAAGGCGGAGTCAGTTCGGCCTTTTCGATGTTTCCTATTCGTGGAGTATCTAACGACTTTTAAAGCATCTCTTTACTCACTCCTTCTTCCATTAAAGCGCCCACCAAGGCTGGTAAGATGAATGCTGAAATTGTTCCTGGTGTGTTCGTTATTCCCATAAGGATACCGGCGTAATTCGGTGCCAAATCGTTTTGATTGCAAAGATGACCGACGAATATTGCACCACCAATAATGATACTCAAAACCAAAAGTATCGTTGCGACTAAACGATTACATCCAATGTATATGATCACTATGAGAAAAATGCAGGGTGGAATACTACCTGTACAAAGTATATAATCAATTTCATTAATTTTACATTTATATCTCATTTAAATTGGACGCTCGTATAAAATGGATTTTTATTCATTTATTTTCAATCGTTATTCTTACAAAGGAATATTAACGTTACATCGAATATGTAAATAGGACAGAAATAATTTTACGATTTACTAAATAATACTCACTTATGAAAACGGCAAGTTTTCTTGCCCTCGTTTGCGACCAAATACCTTTATTTCTTCCCCAATCTAATAATTTACCAAGCAGAGGATTAGTCACGGAGTTTATTAAATATGGCGAACAGGTGATCGTTGCGTTCTAAAAAAGAAAATCGAAAAAGAGAATTGATCGTGACGATATGTAAAATAATTAATATGTAAAATAATTCGATTGGATCATAAACGATACTCACGGATTTAATATCATATCGGAGAATTTTATTCATGTAAAGTGGCATTTGAGTGAGTAAGAAATACCAACAAAAATTTCCAAGAGTATTAGTCCAGATAAGTGCCCAAAATGGTACAGAAGTAAAGATCGGTTTCCAAGGGACTTTTGTTTTTGCCGATTGTGGCGTACGATGACCATACGTATTGATTATAAGTGATCTTTCCTCTTCGGTTATGAATTTTTGTTTTTCTGGACTATCCTCGAAGAAATAATAAAAAACTATACACCAAATTAACGGGAGTGTACCATGAATATAAAAGACAGCCTCCCATCCTAAATCTCTCAGAATTAAGCCGGATGTGAAAATCGATACAACAGTTCCTAGAGATGTTCCGGCGTAGATTATCCCAACCCACATACTCTTTTCCTCATAAACGATCCATTTTCCCAACAGAACGTTCACTATTGGAAGATTAGCGGCACTCATAACACCCGTTAGAAATCTGATGAATAGGAGGAGTGGCAAAATGCTTGCGCAGATTGGCACGATGATCGTTAGAATTGCGTTGGATAATACACAAATCAGTAATACATTCTTCGTGTTAAATCTGTATATCAAAGCGCACAATTTCAATTGATTTTTATTATTATCATCATTGTTATTATTTATATTAAATTTAACAATAACTATCTTACTTCCGTTTGAAGGACAAATCTTTTTATACCATTAAATTGATTATCCTTTAAAATGAAAATAAATATTTGCATTGATAATAAACCGATAAAATATTCATCATGAAACATTAAATATCGTGTTCACGTAATCGTGTAGAAACGATACTTACTCGTAGCACAAGGAAGTTCTATTGCTCATTAAAGATTCTATATTTGTACATTGCTCGTATGCCTAATTAAAAAAAAAAAAAATCCTCGACGATGAATTCTAGGAAGTGATTTTTTCTTTCCTTTTCCGTAAAAAAATAATTTCTTTTTTTTTTTTTTCCTTTTTTTCTAAAGCCAACTAAGATTCGCAAAAATTTATTCATTATAAGAACTCACCGATCGGAGAAATATCCCGAAGGAAACATTCCAATGAGATATCCTGCGAAATATATACTAATAACGAGTCCTTGCTGAGTGGTCGACCAACTAAATGGTCCTTCCAGATCTGTTGTCTCCCTTTCATTTTCACTCTCAAATTCAGGACACTCATCTGATGCCACGGATTCTTGAAGTTTCACCATACCAATTATAGCTGTCGCGATGTTGACCTTGAGACCGTAGATGATCATATTCGCAATGCAAAGCATTATTGCAAAGAGATATCGAACTTTTTTAATCACTATCAACAAAAATATTTTGCAGGGATATATATTATACGATAATATAGAAATTATTAAGAAAAATATCATACAGATATTTAATATATGTATATATATATATATATATATATATATATATATATATATATATAATAGATTAAAAGGTTAGGAAATGTCAAATGTCTGCTTCTTTTCTTTCCCCTCCTTCCCCCTCTCACCCTTTCCGTTCCACCGGCATATCTTTTCCCCTCTAGAGAAATAATTTTCTAATTTTCATGAATTATTCATGAATATGACGTTAACAAATGCAACGAAGAGCTTACTTGTTATTTATACGATGTCTTCCAAATGGATCTTCGAAATTTTCTTCTTTCGTAGTTGTCTCGATTATCTTGAAAGACGACAAATCATATCGATACTCGTTATTCTTATTTCTATTTTTATCTTCGACAGATCGAAATCAATAATTACACTTCTTTCCAAAGAGAAATCGAGCTTGATAATAATTATCAAACTATAACTGCATGACGAGACAAATGTTTCGTTTCTTCTCTAATATATCTTGTCTTTAATGATCGTCCTTGTATCTTCATATTATCATCACGAGATTAAATGGCTTTACAGATGAAAGAGAGAGAGAGAGAGAGAGAGAGAGAGAGAGAGAGAGAAAGAAAGAGAGAGAGAGAGAGAGAAGGAAAGTGCGAAAGAGAAACAAAGACGATCACGATGTGATAAAGTACACTTTCGGTCTCGTTCTGTGGCAGTCGATATTGTCAGTGTTAAAGCATGCGCACGCGCGCGCGTTTATAATTAATTCTCTGCGTGGGAACCTTCAAAGAAAGGAAAGAACCACTTGTTTATACGTCACAATAAATGATTCGGTTCATTGAATAATATATTCATAGTTTATTCGACGTTCACATTATATTTTGATTACCGTAAACGATCGTCAAAATATTTTCTAATACGTATCGATCAATGATATTCAGATAATTATTAAATTAATAAGAGATTTTATTTCTATTGGTTGATAATATTGAAACAGCTATTCATAATCACGTCTTCATTATTGGTCTTGTATGAATATTTATTGAAGAAATTTTTTTCACCCGACCTCATTGCATTTATTTATAACTGACGTTTAAATATTCTATTTCCTTTATAGTCATTGTCTTCATTATCTATTGTTCGATGTTTGTATAATTCAAAAAGTTTTTAAAATTGAACGATAATTTCGTCCGTATATACGTACATACGTATTTATATTTATTTGTTTATTTATTTATTTTTATTTCCTTTTTTTTTTTTTTTTTTTTTTTTTTTATGCGTACATATCTATATAGATAAGAATTCACGAAGACAACGAATTTTATGAACAACGAATTATCCTCAAATAAATATTTACCTCTATACGCTTTATCTTGCAAAATATACATCCGTTTGTAACACATACGTAATCCTGTCTTTTTCCGTATTCCATCATAAGAGAAAATTTTATCGAGTAAAAATGAATCTACCCATATATTCATACATCCAAGTATATATACCGGGTGAACCATTTTAATCGTGAAAGTAATTGAAAATCATTGACGATTTTATTATATCGAAACTATTTTTCTCTCTTTCACATACACATACATTCATATACATATTTCATATATACATACATTTGTATATCCAAATTTATACCTGGTGAACCACTTTAATCGTGAAATTAATTGAAAATCATTCTGTCGACGATTTTCATTATTAATAAATGTCAAAACTATTTGACTCTTTTCGTATAATTAATTAAATAACACTGATTGATTTTTCTTTTGAAATTATGATTTTGTAAAACTTTGAAATAAATGACAACCGATGGAGTTATACACGATTGACACTGTACATATACTGTGTATATATACATATATATATATATATATATATATATATATATATATACAAGAATTTCCTTTGATCAACAATGATCATGTGATCATAAAAGGTCGTAATAAGTCATCGATCCGTTTTGCGTTGATAAATATTTCAATATTATTATATTATCTATCTCGTTTCGAGTTGTCTATTTTTTTTATTACATCTGATGAAACGAGATAAAAGAACATGATCTCATTATGAAAGAGTATATTCAATGTGAACGATGAAGGTCAAAGGAATTCTCTATGAATAGATTGTAAAATTGAGTTTATTACGTTAGTTGATAATAATGCAAGTATTTTAAAAGTGAATATGTACGTACCAATCGAAATGAAAGATGATGATAAAATGGAAAGCGACGATTTTATTAATTATGCTTTTATACATACGATGTCTATGCATAAATCATCGTGTATCTCATTCTATTTCTTTCTCTTCTTTTGAATTCCTTTATGTAATTAAAAACTGTAAATAATGTATACGATTAGAAAGGAGAAAGCGAGTGAGTATTATAAATGATAATTGAAATACTAGAATACGAGAATAAATTAATGGACGACAGTGTTAAAATGATGTGTGGGATAAGAATGAAGCTTTGGGAAAAAAATAAATTTAATATCTCGTACGTATGAAGGTAAAAGAAAAATGAAAAAAAAAAAAGAAAAGAAAAGAAAAATTTACGAAACGTGTTGATCGAAATATAAATATTTTTCGAATGATTATAAATTCATAAAGAAATTTAATTAATTAATATCTAACGATACTTACTTTCAATATATCGACGATATAATAATGGAAATTTTCTAAAATTATTTTATCAATGTTTATACCATAGAGCAAAACTTCGGTATACTAATGGCCTTACACGCTATGGAATAACAAAAGGAAATAAAAGTTTATTATCCGAGCAAGACCTTTCTTATCTAAAACATGTTTCATATACGATTATTCAGCCGGTTGTTCGCGTAAACTCTGTTTTCATCGTATATAAGCAACAACAGCTTCTCGTGAATTCTTTGTAATAAATGTTTGAACGTTCGATCGGCTACTTAATATTTATGGGGTGAGGATAATAGGATGCCTCTACCGGTGGGTCCACGTCCGAGCGGATGAAAAACGTTCTCGAGAATCTCTCAGACTCTTTTCTCTTTTTCTTTCTCCCACTACTTTTCTCATCTACTTGTCTCACTCTTTTCACTTTTACACCAACAGCGAACAGCTTATCTTCAACATCCGACGGAAGTTCAAAATTATATTTTAGTACACTCGTATCGTTCTTCCTGGACGGAGATAAATAAAAGGCGAAACGATTAAAAGCATCAACTTATCAACATTATTATTGTATATTTGTATATTTTATTTTTCTTTCGAGGGTATAAAGTTTATCGATTAAAAAAAAAAAAAAAAAGAAAGAAAGAAAGAAAGAAAGAAGATACATTTTTAAATACATTTATTATGTCGAAAAGAATCAAGGAATTAGATTAGATTTCTATCTGTTAATACCAAGATCAAAATATTTTCACTGTCCATTATACTTTACAAAAAGTGACAACAGATCGACAGAGACACATGACAAAATGTTCCTCGAAATGAAGGTAAATAAAAGATGAACCGTCATCCTTTTAAATTTGGTTTCATTTCGACTTGTGTTGTTCCATTTATAAAATCCTTTTTTCATTTTACTGTCCGAAAGATTTTGTCTCATTAAAAAAAGGAATTCTTTGTGATTCACGTTGAGAGACGAAGTGAAATTTTTTTTAATATCATTAATGATTTCAACGTAAACGGATTTCAACGTGTATTTATAAAATAAATTAGAAAAAATATATAAAATAATAAAAATAAATATATACAAACGTTCATATATATATATATATATATATATATATATATATATATATATATACTTTTATATATTCTTAGAATACATGACATGGTCAAGCTAATTATCACAAGCTAATTATCACAAAATTAGACAATGCCTATTGTCGTATAATAATAATAAAAATAAAGAAATGTTCATTATCAATGGAATTGAATATTTAAAAGTAATAGAAAATATTAAATTTTATATCCATTGTTATAATATTCATACTAATTAACAAAAATGCTTTAAGGATTATGAAAACCGGATCCATGCTCGAATCTAAATTAATGAAAGAGCTTGACGACGATAAGAGTGGGACAGAACAATGGTACACTTTCGGTTGCTGACCGATTAGATACAAGCAAGGCTCGAAAAGCTACCCGTTGAAAACCGGTTTCGAGAGGATTCAGAAGGGCAACCCTCGAGGCGCCGCATTGTACAGCAAAGCCGTTCAACTATTCCTCGAGTCTTTTGACTTCGACCCGCAATGTAAACATAGCCAAGTACCTTCTGAACCGAGCGACTTCTAAACGACGACGAAGACGAAGATGATGGCTTTTTAACTTCCACAGAGCTCTCTCTCTCTCTCTCTTTCTCTGTCTGTCTTTCTTGTACGAAGGAATACCAATTAGTAGCTTCTGTTAATAAACGAGACCAGACAAGTTCGTTCTGCTTCCAAGTTTTTCGACCTTGGACTCTTATTTGTTGGCCGACCACCCACGATGTAAGGAAACCTGCATGATCGCCTGCTGTGAACATCTTCCAGTCATTAATTTCTACTCTTCAGGAGATTCCCTAGTATAGCGGAACATTATTAATTATCATTGATACGATAGATCGTATTGATGTTCTGTAGATTTTTCTTTTTCTTTTTCTTTTTCTTTCTCTCTTTTCTTTTTTTTTATTTATTTATTTTTTTTTTTCTTTTTTTTTTTTTTTTTTTTTTTTTTTTTTTTTTTTTTTTTTTTTTATTACGTTTGCTGTATATGTAATTATCAATTCGACGGTCAAATGTATTTGAAATGATTAGTTCTTTTTCTTTTTTTTTTTCAATTATTTATTTATCGGATAACTAGATTTGATGATTCGATGTTAATTAATATATATTATTATAACTATTATCAATCATTTTATATGTCATGTTATATCGCGACTATTATATTGTGCGAATTCACAATAATAAAATTCGCGAGAAAATTATTTAATGATGGACAATCATTTTCTTATCTTATATCAATAATATTGTGAATAACGAGCTCAGATTATAGACATCGTTAAGATATCTTGAAAATAATAATAATCTTTCGATTTCTTTCAAAGCAAACTTATTCACATTGTTGTCTAGTCGATATCAATTATTATGACATCTTTTTTTTTTTTTTTTTTTTTTTGAAGAGAAACGAAATTATGATTTTACAGAGGATAGCTCACAGTTAAACTGATAAAAGACGAACGAATGGAAGATGTGATGGTAAAATTGTACATTTTCGCGCAAAGCTAAAGGAGACCTAAACTCAAAGATAGGGAAAGAAAGAAAGAAAGAGAAAGAGAGAGAAAAAGAGAAAGAGAGAGAAAAAGAGTGGCTGATATATGCTCACATTAGTTATACGCAAGATGTATGAGTTTCTGCGGCGTCACTCTCCAGTCTCCTACTGTCAGATTCTAGCGCATTTCGTCTAACTCTCCCGACATAATCGGGACGACCCATATTTCCTCACCGCAATGCGTCAACCTCCACCCCTAGCGATTCCGTTTCGTACCTTCATTTTTCACAAGGTACCATACTCCAAACCACCCCTCGTAACCATCCTCGTACGATCTTGCGCTGCCCAAATTCACCTTTCGTATCGTCCCGACTCCTCTCTATTCGTTTCTCTCTAACATTTACGGGGCACATTCTGCTTTCTCTCTCTCTCTCTCTCTCTGTCTCTTTCTCTCTTTCTCTCTTCCATTCGTATATATATATATATATATATATATATATATATATATTTTGTATATAAAATATACATACAGAATAGTATGTTCCTGAGATACGCAACGAGTAATTTCGTTGATTTATTAAAATTTAATTATTCCTACAACCTGGATATCGATGAAATTTGTATAAATATAAAGTAACGCGAATTAAAAGTTTTATTGATGAAATTTTTAGAAGATATATTAGTTAACGTTAATAAAGCATTTTTATTTTGTATATAAATGTATAGAATATATGTGTGCTTATCGATAAATATTTCTCATTGTAATTAATATTATTTATGGTAAAAAAATTGATCAAAATTTGACACCTTCATCTATGTTGCA